TCTGTTTCAATGTCTGCTCATATCCAAAGATTCTGAGTACTGGGTATCAACAAGTTCCCTGGAACAATTAAATTAATTGTTAGGTTCATATTAGCTGTACAAATGCAGACACGAATGACTGAGTCCCAGTTCACTTAGTCTACCAGTGACCTCACATCTCTCAGTTCTTCCTAAGAACTACCTTTTTTCTTTTGGTCTGTGTGCTTTTCCTTCTTTCTTTGGAGAACATTGTTCAACAGCCCTTGATCTAATGTTCCACCCGTTCTTTACATACACTGGGCAAAGGAAGAGAAGACAAGAAAAAGAAACTAAGGAGGGCACTTCTACCCCTTGTAATTGCTAATGGTAGCACCCAGTTACGTGGAAAAGAAAGAAGGAAAAATGAATGGAAGAAACTGAAATAAATACCCAACACAGGTGCTATAAAGATTAGAAACTCCTATTATTACATGTTCATGGCTCTTTACACGGCTTATGGGAAAAATAGGCGTTATCAGAAGGAACAGAGGGAGCACCGTAGAACCCTGGTTAGCTAAAAGCATGCAATGGGCATTAGTGGGCAATATCTTCCTGCCTCCAGAGCAAGGCTGCAGCTGGATTATTCTTGCTCTCATTCTGTACAGTAGGCGGGAAGTTTCCCATGTGGCCCAAATTTCATAATAAAGTCAAGTAATTTCCTGAAAAGTAGTGGAAATAGCATTAAGAGCAACTGAACTCCTCAGACACCTGTCTATGAGTTCTTGGGCGGTTCTTGGGTTTTACTCAGTTTTTTCATGTTGGCAATCACATAAAATTCATGCACTTGATTCAAAACTAATGAATACAAAACACTCAAAACTTACTGTTTTCAAGGTATAGCCTATATTCTTTTGGAGTTATATTCTTTTGGCTTATAGTTTTCAGTGTGAGATTCGCAATATGCAGATGTTATTTGCACCCTGGGCCAATTGGAATAAGGCTTTTATTTCTAAACTGTTTGCAAATAATCCTAGACGCTTTATCAGCTAAGAAGTTCCACATTCTGACCTGTTGGAATCTAAATTTTCTGGGTGTTTTGTGTTATCTTGCAGGGTTTCTTCTTAGTGCTGTTACTGATTTACATTAAGGAGCTGAGAGGCAAGCATATGGATTCTTAGAGCCTAGGTAATTAAGTTTATAAGGTCAATATGACATGCATGACAGATTCTAACAAGCTACTGGTAAATCAGATGGAAAATTCTGCACATACACCTTTCAAGTCAGTGTTTATACTTCCTTACTAAAAATCAGTTGCAAACAATACTGTTAATCTTGAGATTTAATACAACTGCTCTATCTGGAAAAAATAAAGATTTATCACAAAGAAATTCAAAAATATTTCTATACTCTAGTGCTGCTGATACGAACTGTAATTCTTCTGAGAGATGTAAAGGTTCTTGTTTCAAAGGAGAGAAAGTCCTTGTTTGAGCATGAAAGGTGCAGTGTCCTTTCACTGTTAATCACTTGCCTCATTGATTGTAGTGCAGGTATGCCCCAGCTGCCTTGAACTCTCTGAAGCTGTGATCAAACAAAAAGCAGGTTAGCTGAATCAGACTTTTTTTTTTTTTTCCTGTGTTAATTTGAGAACTTTGTCATGTTAGAAGCACGTGACCAGAAAGGATCCATACCGTTGTTGGCACCACATCCTATAAATGAAGCTGTTCATACATTTTAGGTGGGATTCATGAAGAAATAATGAAGTTCTATATCAATTTAAAGCTGACCATAAGGCACACTCCATGTTTTGTACTACGCATTGTATATGTTAATAAAACTTCAGTCAAACTACAGTCAAAACTTCAGTCAGAAACAAAAGATTCAAATAATTCAATTGCATATTTGTTTGGAAAACATCAGAGCTGTATCTCTTCCCTGTGTGCCATATGTCAGATCCCAGGGGATCACTTCTCATTCACAGAGCAGCTGGACACTTAGTGATGGAAAGAGAATTGGATTCTTTAGAGAGCATTTGTTAATGTATTGAAGGTTCTATATGAAGCTGAATAGCTTGCCACAGTATGAGTAAGCTTGCAGTCTGGAATAAATTGTGTTTTAAAGAGTTACAAATCAGATTCTTGGATCTTGCATTTTGCTGTGCAAACACAAGTTTTAAAAATGTCCATCTACAGCAGCAGAGAATCTTCTTCATTGCATTTTGAGTTTAAAATAATAGGAAGTTTGTTGTTGCTTTAGTGACATAACTGTTAAAAAAGTTAAAAGTTAAAAAATAAAAAATAATAAAAAAAAAATAGGTGAACTCAAATTGTCAGATGCACCGGGCCAAGAGTGAAAGCATCCTCCAGTCACTACTACCTGTTTTTGCAATTTGAAGTCTGATGAAAAAAAATGGCATTTCAGAGTACTAGAGAACTAACTTTTGTTTTGTTTTGTTTTAGTAAAAATTAAGTTCTTTAGTATCTTCCCGGTAAAAATCTTTCTATTTTTATGACTTTTTTGGACATTAAATATTTAAAATTTGTTCATGGTAGGGTTAGATATAAAGAGATTGCTCTCTCATGAACAAACTCATTTTACCATGTCTCTTTATAAAATGATATGAAGGCAAAACTAAAACCTCAAAAATAAGCAAGCTAAAAAATGTAGCCCTTCATACCTTGATATTGCTGAAATTTTAAAGCAAACTGACTGCCTTCTATGTTTCTTTTTCTTGTGTTCATGTAACAGAATGTGTCTTTATTTTTTAAAATGTGCAAGCTCCCATTAGCCTGTGAGTCACTTCTATGCATCATATCATGTGCACAAATAATATCATACTCTCAGTCTCTGTAACACATTGGCATAGAAAGAGAAATATAGCATGGAGAGGGAGGAAGAAGCATTTTTCAGCTGGCCATCCATTTAGAGTTCATAATGCTAAATTTTTGAGTGAAGAATGAGCACCCAATTCTACTCCTCCTCCTAATCCCTGCCAGGTCTCCAATCTGTTGATGAAGGCCAAACAGCCACTTCTTTTTGTCTGACCCTCTCCCCTTGCTATTGCTGGCTCTTAGTCAAGACAGAATCACATTCATCTGGGTAATATACACCTAATAAATCTTGTCCAACTCAGTTTGTTCTTACTGGCAAGACAGCTAGCTTCCCCCTCCACTTCTCTCGTCTTTCCTCTCATATCATTATGGGTGTTGACACTCCAGTGAGTTACTTAAGGTGCCCTTAAATAACTGTCTGCATGTGTGCATCCACCTCACTCCCTGTAAAACTCAAGGTAATTGCTGCTGTAAACTGTTTTTCAGTTACAATAAGCAAGAACTTGAGTGCATGCAATAAAAGAAGTCATCAAATTGGCAATCTGCAAGACAATTTTTATTAAGCACAGTATCAGCATAATAACCTCATGCAGCACTTTCCACAGTACAACTTAAGGACTGTGCATAAGAAGTACGTATTATTCTCCCAATTTGTCTACGGGAAAAATTAAGTATGAGAAAGCAAATGGAGAGACCAAGTTTGCCCCAGAAGTTGAAACAGGACAAGACTGCAGATGCTTTGAGTCTCAGTCCAGCATGCTCTCACGAGCAGGACTGAGAAGGATTACAATCTGTCCTGACTTACACCAGGCCCAAGGTTGTTCACTGGTCTTTGTAACATGTGTTTTCTCTCTTTCCTGTCTCAGTAGCTTCACATTACATTAACAATAGCCACTCTCTAGGCTATAGTATCAACCCAGTACCTCCCCTGATGAATACTGAGGAGCAATTAGGCATCACAGTGTATGTGTTCCAGTTGCCATAGTTATCATGCTTTATTGAGTCATGGGTTTAAAATGATTTCCTGAGTCCTGGAGATTCCCCCAGGCTAAAACAGCAGCAGTCTTTCACATAATGGGTCAACTGGTCCAGGTGGATGCATGTGACTATTTCCTCCAGAGGAAATAAGTTTAATTAATATTAAGTTCATTTAGCTAAAAAGCCTTGGATAATGTTTTTAGTTACTGTGTGGAAGGAAGGAAGGAAGGAAAGAAAGAAGAAAGGGAGGGAGAGAGGGAAGAAAAAAAGAAAAAACAAAAGAAGAAAAAAAGAAAAGAAAAATTTCATTCCTTCTGCTCCTTGCAGCCCCCGTTGAACACTGAGTGGCTGACATCACCTGTTCAGGGGGTCCTGCTGAAAAGTCAATCTCATCAATACATCTCATTTATATTGTAACAGCACAGCTGCTTCACAAACAAATTTTTAAAAATTTGACATATTTAAGGCAACGGTCTTTCTGTTTTCATCTATTTTAGTGGGAAACTTGCATCATACATCTTGTTTTCATGGAGGGTGCTGTTATTTCTGTAAAAGTTTACCTTTTTTCTTGATCAGATTGGATGTCACGCATGAGCACAGAATGAAGTAGAATAAGTGGTTCTTACCATTGAAATGTCACTGAGAGCTCCTGGTGCTATGGAGCTCTGCTGCCACGAGGCCACCAAGGTAAATGTCACTTAGGGATGATGCCTCAGCAGAGAAAAAGTTGTGTTACAGCCATCTGTTAGGGCAGGTCCCCTGTGACCTGCATGCCCACTGGTATGACTACTTCCACCACATGCATGTAGAGGTGGCTGGAAATCAAGATTTTATTCTTTAGGTTTAAGTCCTGATTATTTCAGGTTCAGCAGTGATCAATTTCGAATGCTACCTTTATCACTAACTTAACAGTCTTTTAAACTAATCTTTAATTGAAGGCAGACTCATCAGCAGTAGAAATCCTTCAGACTTCAAAAAATGTCTTAACAACAATATGGAAAAGATATCCTTTATCTCTACTAATTCCCGTAAACCAGCAGTATTCCATGTAAGCTAAGGAGCTTACCCTCCATATCTTAAATGAAACAAAGTATTTATTTTCGCTCTTCCTCAGTTTTCAGTTTCTCTGTATTTATACTTTACCAAATTATATCTCTTTATTGAACTACATAATTGGTGTAATTTTTATTTCTTATCCTTTTGTGCATCCATATAATAGAGCCTTCCTTCAGTAAAGTGTGAACCTGCTAATTTCATTTTCAGCCTGAGCTGTTGAACTTGTGTTATTCTAGAGTATTCAGAAGAGATAAAAATACAGGGCTCACTGATCACTTTCTTCAGTCAGTTACATGTATTATAAAGGGTAGGAAAAGGTTTATTTATTTATTATTTACTGGTAAAATAAAGAAAAAAAGAAGTATTTTCTGTGATCAGTACAAGTAACAGCTCCCCATACATGATGAGTTGGGAATAATTCTAATGTGAAACAATGGCTTTCCTCCATGAAGAGCAAGGAGCAGTAACACTGCTTATCTCTAAGAAGTGATAGCGCAAACACTCTTTGTCAAGAGGTCTGAACAATTAAAGACTCCTTTAAATAATTACTTTTCAGTAAAGTCAAGTGCTACAAAATGCAAACTTAATTATTTCCTAGGCAATAGCTGAAACAGGGACATCCTCGGGGCTGTGGAAATGCTGCACACAAACACCCCAGTGAGTCCCAGTCCAGAGCCAGAGGCCTGGAAACCAGAACGTGCTGTAATCCATCATGCTGCTGCTCAGAGGACATTCACAGCAGCTCGGAATGGCCACCGCTTGTCTGACAATCCCGCAGTTGTACCAGGGCTGCCCGCTGTGTGCCAGCTGCTGGGAGGAGGGCACAGTCAGCTATTGAGGCATCCGGGCCTTGAAGGGAAAAAACAGACAATCAGGCCCTTCTTATGAGATGCTGTCCTACCAATCATTCCCTTACGCAGTTACAACAGAAGGAGAATTCACCTTTTACAGAATAATATATGAATAATTGCGCCTGTTGGGCAAGCTTTTACAATTGCTTTAGCATCCAGCACAAGCTTATTGACTGTATTAAGGATAACAATGCTGCACAGAAACAATCTTCCTAGGCAGGCTGCCTATGGGGTCCCTTCTCTGTCAGGAAGCTGCCTGCTGACCGAAGAGTTTGAGAACTAAAGAAATTACAGACCAAAGCTGTGTTGATTTCACAACGCTCCTTGCAGCCCAGTGAGTGATTGCGGTGGCTGCCACCCGCTGACACCCATGCCTCAGGTGGAATGCTCCTCTGAGTACATTTTACAGTGAATGCCAGAGCGGTGCCTTGCTTTTCAGTTGAGAACATGCCTGCTTAAGCAGCCCCATAGAATCCCGAGTTAAAATGCAAGCCAGAGAGACTGCATGTCTTCAGGGGTTGATAACGAACTAGAATCAAAGCATTTCTCTTTCAGATTAGCAGCAAGAATCTAATCCAGGTCAGTGATAATCCTCCGGCATCTATCGAGCCATATCCCACAGACACCACTCCATCAGAGGTCTCCCCAGCTCCAGCAGTGCTGAGAACATCCTCAGACTCCACGCAAGGATGGAAGTTCCCTTTTGGCTGGAGGAGCTGCTTAGCTCTACATGCAGAACAGGAGAGCACATGGTGTTCTGGCATCATCACCATTCATTTGCAACTTTACAAAATGGTGGAGTCGAGGCTGATAACCCTGGGCTGAACTCCTGACAACTTCCCTTCTCCCAGTGCCTGCACAACATTTGACTGTACTCACCATCTGTGTGCTCATCCTCACACTCTCCTGCTTTCAGTTTTCAGTTCCCTTGCACACTACCAAGTCCTCTAAACCCTTCCCATTTATTTTTGCTGCAGAGTAAATGTCCATTCTCTCCTGCAGAAGCTTCCTGTGGGTTCTGTGTAGCAGCTTCCCATGCAGGGATGCAGACTTGGGCCAGGAAGCAGTGTTTACAGCAACAGCTCTGCTTTTTACCATGAGTATTAAGTCGATGCGCTGTGGGCTTCTGCATCTAGCACCATCACTGCGATGGAAGCACCTCTGCACCTGCATTGCTTTCCCATGTTTTGGGCAGTTTGGTGGTGTTCTGGTTTTTCTTCCTTTTGAGGATGATTATAGGAGGAACACGTGAATTTCTCTTTCCTGAAGTTCAGACTCCACACACAATCCACAACCAGCCTTCTCCATCCCTTGCATTACTATTCTGTCACTTCCCAGTCTACCGAGTGCCTAAGAGTGGAGACAATGAGTGCAGCCTCAAAGCCAATTAGGTGGGATTACCCTGTCTGTTAGACAGCTGGAGCTCAGCATGTGCCCGCCCTCCCTGTTAGCCAAGAATTCCCATTGCACGGACCCCACCAACCTTGTCAGCACATAACTGTTGTCTACAACAGGCACTCAGGTAAGCCTGGCGGTGCCAAAAGGAGCTGAAGCTCAGATATGAAGAGGTGATGGATTGAGTGGGTAAAGTATGTAAAATCAGGCTTGAAGATATAGCATAGCTCCATCTTCTTCAGGGTTATTAAAGTAAATTAATGACCTGGAGCCGTGTAGGGGTTTCCAGAAACAACACTGCTATGGCCCATAGGAGGGGGAGATGGTTATTCTCAGGAAAATTGTCTGCTAAGGCACCACACCATACATACTCTGTATCTGAAAGATCATAGCACAGAAACAATAACTGAAACTTGGAATAACAGCAGAGAGTGTAAAATATGCAGTTGTCTTGGAGGAAAATGAACCAATCGCAATTTTCGACGGGACTCAGCTATTCCCCAAAATCTCACGGCACTCTTCTCCACGCTGATAGTTTCGCAAGCGCTCAGAAGTCGCCGTGCAGATTTGCGTTTGCTTTCTGCCGCAAGCATCGATCACGACAGAAGCGGTGGGGCAGCCCCCGAGGAGCGGGACGGGGCGGAGCGGGGCGGGGGCGGGGGCGGTGCGGAGCCGGGCGGCGGTGCCAGCTGCCAGCCGCCGCGGAGACAGCAGCGAGGGAGCTTGGTGCCCGTGGAGGTTCCGCGGCGGGCGGGACACCATGATCCTCACTCGTAAGCTCGGAGGGGTGATGGGGTGCTATCGGGACGGGGTTGGGCTGGGGCAATGCGGTGGGGTTTGGAGGTGAGGGGTGTCCCCTCTCAAGGCAGCACAGCGGTACTGAGTCTCGCTTTCCATGCTTCTCTCTCCCCTTTGATGCTTTTTCTTTTCTTTTCCTTTCCTTTTATTTTCTTTTTCTTTCTTTCTCTCTCTCTTTTTTTTTCTTTTTCCTTTACACTTTTTAAAGAAACTTTTCTTTCCGGACGTGCTTACGAGCCGGGAAGTGCTGTGCTGCCTTTGAAGCCGTGCGTCACACGAGTCCCCTGGCCGCCAGGAGCCCGGTGGCCGCCCGCAGCCCGTCCCACGGTCAGCTGGGTCTTCGATCCACGGGGAGCATCACCCCAGGCCACCCGGGCAGCAGAAGGCCCGAGCCGGGGGCGGCTGCAGCCTCACCCCCATTTCAGCTGGCAGTGATTTGATTTCCACTGCCGCTGTGAAGCTGTTGAGTGATGGGTTGCCATTAGGCCACTAAGTGCTTTTTCCAGTCAAGAACACTTACCTATAGATGTGTACGTGGTACTACAGTTAATTCCCCCCTCTCCTCCCTGCCATTCCCCCACCCCTCTGTTCTCCTTGGGAAAATAAAAGTACTGAAGAAATAATTGCATGAGAGCAATATCTGTGGCTGGGTCCGAAGTGTCTGTCTGATGTGTCATAGGAAATGTGAATTAAAAAAAACAAGGAATGTATTTCTATCTTACTCATCAGTCAAAGATGGTTTTCATTTTTCCAGGATTAAGTGTGATATGTTTGAAGAAGTTCTTGGGATCAGACCAGTGTCACTACTCTGGTCAGGTTATATTTGTAATGGTTTTCCTAGTGATCTGTAGAAAGGCAGGCAGTGTCCAGGCACAGTCCCCATGAGCCCTTGAGCGTGAATCAGGTATGTGTCAGATGAAGAAGCACCCATTGGGCACATGGTGGTTCTGCCACACTGCCTCCCCTCCATGTGCCCTTGGCAGTATCCTGCTGTGCCCAAAGGGATCCAAGTGGCTGGAAAGCAGGGCTGTGTCCTGCTGTAACTTATGGGTTTGTGTTACTGCTCCAGTTTGCCTGCAAAATCCTGATTAGGGCTGAAGCTCTTTGATTGTGGAGCAGAGCAGAGTCAAAGGAAGATGTAGATGCTGTTTGGGAGAAATCCTTTCATCTACAAGGTCAAGGAATCAAAGCATTTGGCACTACCTTTGTAACCTCTGGGACCTCTGATCTCTTTATCTTCCTTTAAAGTTACTTGGTTTGTTAATCAAGTTATTATGAAAGGGAAATGCAGCTACTTTTTTTTTTTTTTTTTTTTTTTAAACTGAATGGAGTTTTTGTTAAATTCCATTTCTAAATAGTAGTTAAAAGCAAGAATATCTTGCCATCTTTTTTGTTTTTCTGAATCTGTTGCGTAGAACCAGTCTAGGATTTGTTAATTTTCAAGCCAGGATCTCTCCAGCCCATGCTGCTGGGCCCAAGGAAGGGCAAATGCTGGGCACAGAGCCACCCCAGGGACCTTGTGTGCTTTGTGAGGCTGGGAAGAAAGAACTGAGGTTGTCCTTATGGACTAATCTTGTCTGTTTATGTTGGGGTTCTTAGGGGATGAGAGGTGATTTGGTTTTACTGTTCTGTTTTTTTCTAATCCATTACATTCTAGGCAATGATTTGTTTCAGGCATGAGAATTTGAGTTCTGCAAATATTTAGAGATGCAGTTTGCATGATAACCTTTTTTGTTGTTTTGGTGGTTTGTTGTTTTTTGTTTTTTTTTTCCTTTTCTAGTCAGAATACCCCAGTGTGTTATATTTCGGTTTCTTCAGAGATTCAAATTACTCTTATAAGTCCCCTTAGATTGGAATTTTGCTATTGGTTTCAGTATAAACACAACTGCACCCTTGTCTGGTGAAAAGGAGATGGAGGAGGAGAGCCCATGTGCTTAACAGGATGGTCCTGTACTGTAAACAAGCACTTTTCATGCTTAACTATCCTTCCTAGCAACAGGAAGAAGGAAATGAGGCTATGCAAAAGGACCCTGACATGTTTCAGACAATGCCAGACCCACCCTCGCATTCATACAGTATAACCAGAAGACTTGGGGAAATAAAAATAACTTCAGATGTTTCCCTTTCCTTCCTGTGCATATTACAGAAATACAGCAATCAAATGATCTGCAGTTCACAGAAAACTTGCTGGTTTGATCTCCGCTAAGTTAGGAGATGATACTCCCACATAATTCATACACCTTTACTGGGTATCATACTGTTTGGCATATTTTGCAGTTCTCAGTGTTTCATGAATTGTAGAATACTGTATCATCTCTTGCTGTTCAGTGAGTGCCAATCTTCAGTAATTCTGGTCATTTCAGCATTTCCAGGTGTATTTCTAAATTTTTCCTTTCCTTTTTACTTTTTCTTTTGTTTCCCTCCTCCCCTTTCTCCTGGTTTAAAGGAAAAAGTAACCACCATGAGTAAGTCCATTAAAGGGGCATGGTTGGAACTTTCTGGTTCTTTTCATGGGACTCTTACTTGGCCATGCTTGCTGATACCAAGTAGTACCCTTACCTGCACAGCAAACCTTTGAAATCCATAGGTTTGTTAACACAGTATGATGCCACTTGACATAACTGGCTGCAGTAAAGTCATTCTTGAGTTGACCAGTTAGTTGTAATTCTCTGGTTTTCATTATCTGGCAGTTACTGATAATACTACACACTTTTCTGAAGCAGCTCTTCTTTGAGAGAGCATGCTGAGGGGGAAGTTGTTTCAAATACTGGCATTTGTTTCCCTTAGAAGTGCTGTGCTGGATTGGACAGGATCAGGCACAATGTTATCCAGCCTGTCTCTTAATAGTGACACAATGTGATGGCCCACTTATTCCTGGTGGTGAATTTTTTTTTTTTTTTAAAGTCCAAAATGGTACAGAATTCCTTAGGCTTGGTTTTAAATATATTTATGTTATATATTATATATTAAATATATATATATATAAACCTCTCAATTCACGTGCACTTCTCAGTCTGTGCAAAGAACTTCCTGAGGAGATGCATGAAGGACATTCTCTTAAGCCAGAGATGGGCACGGTTTGACCTTCCCAAACCCATTCTTGTTCCTTGTGGAAGACTTGAAATCAAGAAAAATATATCCTCCGCATTCCTGTGTTTTGAGGAAGTTCTTTCTGTGACCCTGTGAACCAGCAGGTCTAGGTGCTTGTAAGTGTCAGATTATAATTGTAACTGTAACAGTTAGAATTGTTCTGGGAAAATCCAGTTTTGCACCTTCTGTGTTGATTAAGGGAAATGAGTGTTCAGCTGAGTCTCTACGTGCTTTAAGCTTGTCTGTGTCACTGCCACTGGAGCTTCTGACCTTTATATCCAGTACTGTGCCATCCACACAGGGCTCATATGGGGTCATCACTGGAATGAGCACTGAATGCTTATGGTGCAAAAGAGGTCCTTTTCCCAGATCGTCCTTCTTATGCATGCTGATGATTTTGAGATTGAGTTTTATCAGTCTGAAAGTAACTGAAGAAAGCCTACTGTGAACAGCTAGTATCTGCCCTCATACCCACTATTTTTTCCTAGATCTGGAAAGGTGGCCCAGACTCCAGCAGGGTGCCTGGGAGTCACAGTGGTTAATGTCTACCCTTCTATCCCTGTTCAAAGGCCATTCTCATCAAGTCATCTCTGAGGGAATGGGAGGTTAAAGTCATCTACTGTTTCCCAATCTTTGGAGGAGGATTCTTTTCTCACTCTGGAATCTGTCAACATGACCTCCTTTGGAGGATTTGGCTAAATGCTTTCTCTGCCCCAAATAATCCTCCTCCAAGACCACCCTGTGTTAATCAGGCCAGATAAATAACCCACGTGCCCAATTATTTCTTAGGAGTTTTTTTTTAAGTCACTTAACATCTTATTCTTCTTCATTTCTGAACCTTTTAAAGATGAATGAGGAAAGACCATCTTTAATCTATAAAAATAATTGTTCTTTGGCAGGAAAACTTTTGTTTAAAGAAAGTTAATTTTTAATCTTTATTTATATGTAAAAATCATTTAAAATAAATGGTGATGCTGGTTTACAGTGCACAGTTCTGGTTTACGGTGTACTTGATGGTAAGTGCCATGATGCACTGCAATTCCTCTGGTTGCAATAAAGACCTCCTTGGTCTGGGGGGGTAACTGATGGGACTTTGAGAAAGAAGTCTCATTTTAGATATTTAGTTATTGTTGAAAATAATTAAAAGGACTGTGAACCTTATTTCAATATGCTGAAGACTATGAAAAGGAGATTCAAGTTAATTAGGTTTTGACTCACAAAAGCAGCATTGTGTTTCCTGGGCTTGCTGAGAAGATTGATGTGCAATAAAAGCTACTATGTTATGTAAACTGCTGCAGTTGGTAGGAAGGAAAATTAAATGCAGCCAGCAGACACCTATGTAGATATTTTGGAAAGCAGTCACATAGATATACAAAAAATATATATATTTTTTAAGTCAGTTTAAGTGAATAAACAAACTTTGAACTCCATAAGTAGAGTTAAGACATTTGCTCTTTCAGAAGACTCAGCTGAAAAAAATTGTTCAAGCTTCCTGATTTTTTTTCAAAGCAAATATCAATATATGATCTTAAACATCTGTTTCCTTACTCCTTCTTCATCTGTTCCCACACAAATTCCAAACATATTCTGTTTCTTCTCCCAGTGTCCTGTGGTTTATACATAACATCAGCAGCATAGTTACTGTTTTGCTGCAAGGCTTTCTAACTTGAAAAAGTCATTCTTATGTTTAACCCAAAGCCAGCAGTAGCACAAGGAGAGTGTTTCTTCGATGATCATCACATAGCTGAGAGATATTTGAGTAACATTCGCCACCACCACTTCTTTCCAGGACTTCTATGACTAGAAAGCAGTGCATACATTTGTTGCCATATATGGTTTCTTTCAAGAAGTTGTTTTTTTCCTCCCAGAAACTTCTTATTTCTTA